ACAAGTAATTGAGAAAAAATACTCATGGCCTTTTTACAAAATGTAATTTTAGGAAAACAAAATACTTTTCATAGTGGCTGATATGTGACTTTTGTTTTAGTCAACTATATCTCAAGAGATATTTTCCTGTAACCAATTTAATTTCTGTGTTTTAAATATAGAATTTCTGAATTTCTTTGTATGTTTATTCGATTTTTTACCATTTTGTAGATATTTGTTGCGATTAAAAATTCTGTAAGCTTCTTGAGGAGAAAACCCTTAGCACATTATTCAAACAAAGTGAGCACTTTTAGAAAAACGCCTCTTGAATTGAATTTTTTAGAATTTTACCCAATCTTGGATGAATAAATATGTCTCTACCTATTTTAACAATACTTTGGAACAAATCTAGGTATTCTCCCCCAAATATTAGGTTAACACAGTATTAAGGGACGAGTGAGAATTTTTATGTACGCTCTATCTGACTGGCCCTATCTTTGATTTGACCCAGATATATTTGTTAATCCAGGGCTTAAAAAAATTGAAGCTTAATGGTGAACTCATGTTTCCTATGACTTAATGGATGTTTTGAATTGACTTTACCGTCTCACACATTCACCGAGTTTTTCCAGTGGCCATTGAAAACACTCACTGCAAGCCTGATTGCATTGGGGAGAGAGAGGCAGAGAGAGAGAGAGAGAGAGCACGAGAGATAGACAGCCAGACTCAGGACTTCATCACTGCTAGTTTCATTGGATTAGAAAATGTCTAATCTCAAAATGTGTCAACAAATGAAGGAGAAGAGATAATAAAAAGTTGAACTGGCTTGAAATTTTTGTCTTTGATTTTCCCAGCTATGAAATAACCTTTCATTTTAACATTACACAGAATATTTTTTTGTCACGGCACTATTGTTACTTGTTTTTAATCTTAGGTTACACATATTGCTGAAGACCCTCCTTGTAGCTGTTCTCATCGATTTTCTATTGAATACTTATCGGAAGGACGGTACCGGCTAGGAGATAAAATACTCTTTATAAGAGTAAGTCCACCATTTACATCCTATTTATATACAGATCTTGTTTTGAAAAGGGGTTATTGCTTTGCCAGCCTCCTTTTACTTTTTAAAAAATTAGCCAAGTGGGTGTTACTAATGAAAGAATTTCACTGTACAGGAAAACTACGGAATACTTGCTTTCAGGAATCTATAACAAATTTAGTTAAACACCTTTAACACAACAAATAACTAACTACAAGATAGCTAGGACTATTTAGACATTGAATATAATTGGG